AAACATTAAAAAGATTGTTAATCAGAATGTTCTTTCCCTTTATAAATTACGAGATACACAATATATTTACTTCCATAAAGTGAATCTGTAAAAATATATATGTTTTTCATATTTAATATATAAAGTTGCTTATCATTTACTATCGGAAAAACGACAGGTCCCTTTTTTTAGAACATCGAATTTTACTTATCGCATAAAAACGTAAAAATGTACTTTACACAGTTCGTGTTTTATATTCTTAAAGTGAAAGATATTTTTGAAAATAGGTGATGCATGTGTCTGGTTTCAAATTATATTTTATGCAGCCAACATTTACTTGAGGAATTGATAAAGTTTAAAAGGGTATCGTTTTTGTTCGATTTTCATCCGACTATAAGTTTTCAAAATATTCTCGACTATCCTCTCCATCATTTAGACGCATGCCTTTTTCACACATATCGAAGCGGTTTGATGATAAAGACTCATTTCCATTGTTTACTTTATTTATTTCCCGGGCGACAATTGATGGTTACATCAATGTTTTCTTGTTATTATTTGATTCAAGATTATTATGTAATAGTACTATGTGGGAAAGAATACAACGTAGTACGATTTAACACTTTGGAGTACTATGTGGGAAAGAATACAACGTAGTACGATTTAACACTTTGGAGTAATTAATAAGCGATAATTAATGCGGTCGTTTATGTAAATCACACATCGCCACAGAACACCAGACTGACCGGATGTGCCTCGAGGATGACTTGCAAAATGAAATATCATTCCCGAATTCACTTTCGATGATGTAGGATTTTTTTTAGGAATGTTTGCTTTTTAGCATATATAGTGATAAAGTGCTGAAAAAGCTTTAAAATATCATTGTACTTCAAAGCATCGATTCATAAAAGAGAATCAAAGCCTTATAAAAACTTTATACTGTACAAAGTTCAATATACGGATAGTCTTTCTTTTGGATTTTAACCGATACATCATGTTCGTATCGAGGAAAGAACCTCACACGAATACTAGTATTTCGAGGTTCTGATAAGCACAGATACCCATAACTACATTCATAGTAAATTGTACCGGGGTTGTAGACAGGGAATGATTAATTTAAACAATATTTTATTATGTAAAATCATAAAAGGATTGGACAGCAGGCCCTGCCTATATAAGCCCTCTCCATAATGGATGATTACTCCTCCATGGCACCCGATCCCACCTCTGATGTTTTTAGAGGTTCGTGTTTTCTCTGCTCCAAATTTGTGTTGTATCAGTAGACTTTTGAGATTGATTACTGTTCGTTATCATATTTCATTGTCAAACCTGAAGTACATACCATTCAGAACACTTTCTTTGATTTCCTGTGTATTACTGCCTGTCTCTGTTTGGATTATCGGAGGAAAATTAGAAGCGAACGTATTACCTAAAAATAGGGAGAGCCAGATCATACCAATTAACATAATCCATGTAAATGATAATTCATATTCTTGCAAATTTTGTTATATATGTACATGTGTATCTATAAACTACATGGTGTATAGGTAGTTTTCGATAGACGCTATTTTAAGAGTTTTTTTCCGTTGACCGCCATATTGGAGGTCATCATGCCCAGTTTCCTTTATTATTCAACCAATTTAAAATTGCCATACTTGATATTCAGGTGAAGATAACGCTATTTTTTTCCTGACAAATATACGTTTGGTAAAGCTTCCTTTAATTCAGTAATTTAGAATTGTAAAGATTTTTTCCTTTATATTTCTGCCATACATGCTTAAAAATCAGTTGCTCAAAGAGGAAAATGCACCGGTTTGACCTTCCAGATGGCGACCAAAGAGAAAATACGTCATGCCAAAACTTTCTATTGAAAAGAAATAAATCAATTATATTTTTTGCATATTCATAAACTGATATAGTAACTAGCTAGTATTTGGTGCATTGTGCATAGCATCATTTATTATTTTTAAATTGTTATCATGTAAAGATGAAAACATTCAGCAAATACTGCACAATAATAAAAGAGCTGCAAAATTTCCCATTCTCGCCATACTGTAACAAGCAGGATCATGGAATCCACCAAAAGACTGTACGAAATAAATTTAAGACTCGTCAAAAGGAACTTTTTATGAGATCAAAAATGACGTGGCATTTTCAGAGTAAAAAAAAATAAGAAATAAGATTATACTTGCATCTGTATTTGGATAGATGGAATGAGTTCCCAATTAACCCTAACAAAAGTAATTTATCTGTATTAAACTATCACGGGAATCCAGTGATAAGACTATGATGTTTAATGTGAGGCTGAGGGTCATCCTACACTGTAAAAAATGTGTTTACAATTCAAACACTTTTCTAAACACTTTGTTGTCACCTCCTTTTTTATATGTTTAATTCCTAAACATGTAAAATTTCTAAACATATCTCAGAAAGTGTTTAGAATTTAAACACTTTTGTGCTTAGAAATTAAACATATCTAAACACATAAACACAAGTGTTAAAATTCTAAACACATAACAGCAGAAGTGTTTAATATCTAAACACATAAGTATAATTTGTACCTGCAGAAAAACAAAACACTCAAATTTAGGCACAAAAAATATATGTTTTTTCAATGCGAATAATTGTCAAAATTTTCAAAAATATGTAACGATATTAATAATTTTCAATAAAGCCACTGAACGTTGGGATTTGTATTTAATTATTCAATACAATGGACACTGTGCAATGTACTTAATTTACACAAATAATGTAGGAGATGGAACTGAATAGATTTGATTAGTCTCAACAATTCAATCAGAATGACACATAATTTATAATGTACACATGGATAACAAATTTTTAATCTTCAAAATTATTAAGAAAAAAATATTAAGCTGACAATTTAATGTCAAAACTTCATTGAATATATCTAAAAGCCTTTATTAAAGAATTTTTAAATTAAAAATACAAAATGTATATTTATATATATATTTATTATAATAATTATAATTTGAATCGGCTGCAGAGTTTTCCTCATGTCAATCACAAAAATATCAAATTTTATTAACTTTCAGCAAGTCCCAAAGCACCACATAATATAATCTATATATCCCATCAATAACTACCAGAAAGTAACCCAATTCGAATGCACGAGGATAATTGTAAACATTGTCGAATTAACTCAGTAATCTTCACAAAATGAAGTTTCAAAGTGTTGATTATGGAACAACAAAATTGCACTTGGAGATGACACCAGGTACTCTGATACGTGTATTTTGAGTTCGATCTGGACTACAGTACCTGTAGGAAAGAAAGCCAGATTGTAGTAAAAGTACAATGCCACTGATATTTTATATTAGTTAAAAAAAAATTGTTCAAGTTTTATTGAAACTATACTGATATAAATATAGATGTTTTTAATGACATTTAATATTATTTCCTCTCCTGTAAGTCTATGAACGAGTTCAAGATATCCCAAGTCAACTTTATTTACGTTGCTCATCGTGGTTAATTAATGCAAAGAAAAAGAAAACAAACCTTTAATGTATTGCAGTAATAAGATGCCCTTTCACGTATTTCATTATTTCGCCATGGTTATCCCTTGAATTGGGTTGTCATAACTCACATTGGTACATCACCTTATAGCTTGTTGTGTTTTCTTTGTTTAGATAGCCGCTCAAATTAACGTTCAAATATATGTGTGTCATTTCCGGGAAGATAACTCTGCACTTTACAGTAAAACATGTTTAATTTCTAAACGCATTTAGATATAAAACATGTTAAGACATAAGTGTTTAGTTGTTAAATACAATACTATACACGTTTAGATCTAAACATGTAATAGAAGTGTTTATTTCCTAAACACAATTTTTACAGTGTACAAATGCATAATACAATCAAGCCTACCTTACAAATTGAAATGATAAAATTAATGCAAGATTTGTGAAATGTATCCCAACAGAATTGAGCCATGTCTTACCTTTTAACACTAGAGACATGGGCTGATAAGGATATTGAACTAGTCATGAGGTGCATTTTGTCATGTGTTGAGTCAAAGGAAGAAAAGTTAAAGACATGTCCTATGTCTGAAGTTAATAAAAAAAAAAACAAAAAACAGTTGCTCAAGGAAAGAAAAATATTGATTGCTTTCATATATCGCCTTACCTGAAACATGAAAATATTACATATTTCAATTAAGTAAAAGATAATGTTAATTTTAATTGATTTTTACCTGTCGTTATTTCCGATACATGTATATGTGATATCTCTATCTCTTTTTAGAATTATTGCTCCTTTAAATGAAAAATGAAAATGAAAATTACTTTTTATTTTTGAATGATGCATTCATATAATGTCATATCTGTTAGACTTTTTACGACAAAGGTAGATTTTGTCACCCTTATTCGGAAATACTATTAAATAGATTGTTCGTATTCTTTAATATCATAAGTTTCATAAAAACACCTTTAACATAGATAAATATTAATTCTTAAACCTTATAAATTTCTTAATACAATATAAAACTTGATTTTCTGCTGGTTCATAAACCTATATCTGAATTTTTACATCATACAAAAATTAATAAAAAGTATGTTATGGTACACATTTTCATATCTGACAACTTATTTTATAAAAGCACCCCTTATAAAAATTAATTTTACTATACCTAGTTGACATAACAATACGTGTAAGGTCGACTGTTAAAAATGTTAATTTACTCTCCTCGGCTGGGCAACGTGGTGTTTATCTATTTATTAAAACAAAAACCACCCAGTCTGACAAAAACGTCACTAATCAGCAATTTTATGGACAACCCTATTATGCGTGATTCAAATCATCAGAGTTGATGCAACCAATGCATTACATGGTATGCTTTCAATCTAAATGAAGTACCTTGCACTTTATTTAAAACTGAAAGCTTGTGATGCACATTAAATTGTTGCCATATAGTTACAAAGTCAATACTTTAATATTCTTTGTATAGTCAATACTAAAAGGAAGTAAAGAATAGACACACCAAGGATGAAATTTTATTGCAATATTTGAAAAAGAGTCCTTTTCATTTTGAATGGTTTCCATAGAGAGATTATCCAAATATGCCAAGTATATCGGATCGGTCGACACAATGAAAAGAAACCTCCAAATATTTGTCGACACCGACACATGGTTCCCCAAAAATGCTGCTATCAGCAGACAATCTACAGCGTCTGTAACCGTTACAGGACCACTTAGCACGGTCTGTGGATGAGTGTGACTGACATCTAAGAGAACCAAGGTTACTTGAAGGACAAATGTCATTAGTGGTTCTTCCATATACGGCAGAGATAATTCGGATTAGCTTCCCTACTTCACACTGAATGTAACCCGCTTGTCCTTCACACAACACAAATGATTGTCCTATAAAGACATGTTTTAGATCTGTTGATATCTTACATTTACATATATTTAAGGTTAATCATGTTTGTATTGTGAAAGGTAATTCTGGTAAACAGTGTACTTGATTGTAAAAAACATTCAAAAATTCAAGAAAAAAAAAATAGAACAACAAAGAAATATAATCTACCTGAATAAGTGTCCCCGTGTTGTGCAGGCTTCACCGATGTCGTTGAACTTGAGTTTTTGTAGTTGCACGATGTGGCGGAATGAAGGTGTGCCTATTTAATCAAAACTACCCGTCTGGTTACAACGTTCAAACAATATCTTTGAAAATATGAGGACATTTTTTTTTTACAAGTATATGTTGCAACAATCTACATTCTTTGCTTTTATCAAAATTTACAGTTTCATTGGAACACTTATTTCATTCATTTATTACTTTTCTAGATATAAGATCCTAAATTGCTAAATTAAAGACTTACACATGCATGTATAAACACAAGACAGGTATTTTTAAAAATGTTCACTGCCTATCTCTAATATAAACCATGTTCCAGTTCTGGGGAATTTTCATTTTTAACAACCATTCTTGCAGCTTCAGATGGATATTTCTTGTGATCGTTTTATTTTCGAATAAGTAATTACCTTTCAACCTTTCAACTGTGCATGTATTAATGTTGACTGCATTTTATAAGTCAGAGTAATTACGCAGAAAAAGAATATGTAAACATTTGAACATTGTTTCTTAAAAATGCATCTTGAAAGTATGGAACTTTGAACCTGTAAAAAAGCTGTCACAGACACAGTTGAGGCCAGACTTGGAGAACCATGGTCATGTGCAGTAACCGCTAGTTCTAGCCTTCCATCAGGGATAGAGGAAAGCTGATTACGTGTCAGAGGGTTGACGATTCGGATAGATCCAGTAGTGCTGCTAATGGTGAAATGTTTATCTAAGGTGTCTAGTCGAGGAAGAAGGGTGTAGGTAATCAAACTGTTGGCTGTACGAGGTTCGTCATAATCAACTGCCTAAAATTATAAGAAATCAAAGCAAGTGAGCTTACTGTTTAGATTATCAGGTAACTACATATCTTCAAAGAAATATAATTATGGTTAAGTAGCAGAAAATATATAATTGCGTGTCATTGCTTCCAATATGGAAATCGATACTCAACTTCATCGTATAAAATTCCTGGATCCGCCTTTCTGCATTTTTGTTTGTAATATTTTAGCTTTTGAAGGGTTTATTTAAGACGATATAGTTGACAATAACATCAGTAAGCAGTAGCAATAAACAGATCACAGTGGCATTCCTCCATAGCATGTTGCGAGACAAATGAAAAGAACAAACTTAAAGTACTCATTATGCTTGTTCTGGAATTTGAACCCTGAAATCTCTGTACATATTTCTTATTTACTCGGATCATTCACGGACAGAGAAACGCAAAGCAACTATACGTCGCCCCTGATGCGTAGTGGTTAGAGGGTTTCTATAGAATCGCTGAGTAAAAGGAGTCGACCCTTACGTCGCGGGTTCGAATCCCACTGTGGGACGTAAAGACCGGTCCTTCGGATGAGACCGTAAAAACCCAGATCTCGTGTCGCTGTAGGTGGTGGTACAAAAGAATCCCTCACTGTTCAAAAGTTCTGAGTGGCGAGTACAGGTCTAAATTTGCAGCACTCCACCGGCATTTGTGTCTCAATATGAATGAAAATTTCTCGAAGGGACGTTAAACAGACAAACATGAAAATGAAACTACACCTTCCTTTCTTGACTCTTTGCCAGAGATAAAAATGTATGGATAAAAAGAAAATAATTCATTGCTCGGTTGTCATAGCATTTTGAGTTGTAACAATCAACAGTTGCTTTTTCTAAGAAATCACCGTACTTATAGGAAAAAATCGACTGTCGATATACCAAAATTATTGATCATATGACCTACATGTACAGTGAAGTTATTAATTCCTGATATTAATGAAGAATTTTCTGTGATCCCAAATTCATATTTTGGCTGCAAAAACATCGGACTGTTATCGTTTACATCCATGAGTGTTATTTTCACAGGAGCAGACGACACCTTTCCTCCACCATCCCTTGCTTCAACCGACATATAGTAAACCCTTTGTCTTTCCCTGTCCAAGCAACTGCTGTTACATGCCACTGATATTACTCCAGTCTTAGAGTTGATGCTGAACCTAGAATTAACATAAAATTGTTCTCATGTTTAGTGAAATACATTAAACACACACACACACCCTCACACACACACACACACACACCCTCCCTCACACACACACACACACCCTCACACACCCTCACACACACACACACACACATATATATATATATAAATATAAATATAAATATATATATATAATATATATATATATATATATATATATATATATATATATATATATATATATATATATATATATATATATATATATATATATATATATAACTTTGGCTTACGAATTATCTGTTTCTGATAATATGTATTGAATTTTTCCGTAATTTCCAGTATCCATATCATTGGCCTAGAAATAAAACAAGTTAATATCAAAGGTTTAAGTTAAAATACACGATAAATGAACGATTGCCTAGTTCTCTATAAATAAGATAAAGAAATATAAATGGCAATTATTGTAAAGTTATTAATTCCTTTAGTACTCTTTTGAATTGTTAATGAAGTTAACATGTTTCAAATAAAGATTTTTTTTAGTATGGTAAATAAAACTATCAAACGTACTTGAATTTAAATTTTCTTTAGGAAACACAATAACAAAAGAAAAACCTATCTGATTACCTGTACACTTGCTACTGGGGTTCCATATTTTGTGTTTTCTGGAATCGAGAAACTAAAAGCGCTTGCAACGAATTGTGGGTAAAATCTGTTTGTTTGATTAACGTATAACGTCACTTGACAAGAGCTAGACAGTTTGGGTACACCTCTGTCTTCAGCTTTTACCTGAAAAAAATCATCAAATCTTTTTCTTACTTAGTAGAGTTATGGCATTTATTGATAATTTCGTAATAATTATTGTAAATAAAGGAAATCACACTAATAATATTGAAGAAATAAAGATTATAAAGGATATTCTTTTGAAGTTGTTCATCTGGAAATCGACACACTCCCCCTTTTCTCTCATTGCAGGTGACTTGATAAGCTACATATCCTTTAAAGAAATGAAATGCTATATCTTGTATATCTACTTTACAGTATTAATTTCCCACAAATCACTTACATAGAGGTGAAGAATGGTCCACGTATTATAATCGACAGTAAAATTATTGACGAGCCTCAGTTGTACTGATCCACTGGAATAAACTGTAGATGGTGAGGCTTCAACTAAAAACAGTCTCCCACCCATGCCAAAGTTTACAGAAACTGTTAAATCCACAATGCTGTTGTTACCCTGTAAATAAACATGGGGAAATTTTAATTTTAAGGTATTTAGTTTTTCTTCTCGAATATGTTGAAAGTTGAGGAAAATTATAAAATATGCATTTTCCAGTGCACAATATGTATGTATATAGAGAGAACATATTTCTTAGGATCTTGACGTATATAACAACAAAATATCAACATATTTTTCACTTCAGTTATATTTGATTGCTGATAATCCTAAAAGTGAATTAATTTCTCAATGTAACATAATGTCTTTGTTTACCTGTTTATTCGGGGACCCATTGCAGAAAAAAAATATTACCAGCTTATAATAATAACAGTGGTTATGTATAGCGTTTTCAATGTTGCATCTGATCATCTTCGTATAAACACAGGAAACATTATTGTAGGCTAATCCACAAGCATGTTTCAATAAATGCTTAACTTTCTTTCGTTTTCAAAAAGAAATCAAAAGATACTGATGTTAATTTGCGAATTGTCAAACAAGAATGTAATAAAAAGTTTTAGAATACAGTTCTTTAAATCTCAGTACCTGGTCAGCATCGGCCAGTGAAACACCGTCTGGAATATTTATGTCAATATCAGTCAAACCCTCCGGTACATAGCCTGTGTAGACACTTTTCTCAAATACTGGGGGGTTATCATTTATATCCTTGACGAATAGTTTAAGGGTTGCTGTAGTCTGTGATGCATTGCTGGGAACGTCTGTTATCTCTGATGCCTATATATATATATATATATATATATATATATATATATATATATATATATATATATATATATATATAAGGATATATATATATATATATATATATATATATATATATATATATATATATATATATATATATATATATATATATATATATATAAGGAAAAGATTTTTTTTTGTCTTTAAAATATGCTGATTAGAACAGATATATCACCTTGAGTGTTACACTACAAAGTCAATTCTATCTATCTATCTATCTATCTATCTTAGGAATGTCAACGAATATTCTAATATTAATTCGATGAATTGATATTCGAATATTGATTTATGATTGGAATATTCATTTTGTTTTTATCATTATTTTTTGTATACTTGGAAGAGGAAGGATTCTTGTTTAATTGGAAAAAAGTATTTAAGTAAGTTCAATTTCGATCACCTTATTTCCATTAATTTTGAATCATTTCGGTGTTTCAGATGAAAAGTCATTCCCTTGAAATCAAACATTTTGCGATATTTTTAACAGGACTGGTAATGGATACTTGTGAACACTTATTGTATATCAGGAGGGGTTGTCTTGTACGGTACGTAGCTTGGAAATAAAATTCCGTCTTGTAAAACAATAAGAAATAGAATCGTGTGGAAGATTTTATATATCTTTCAAATTTGCCGCTGATTGTAACAGATTTATCACCTTGAGTGTTATACTACAAAGTCCGTTTTCCCTGTTGAATAGTCCAGAGTCCCTGTCTAATGGTTTATGCGTGTATATTCCACCAGACACAGCATCTATCCTTACATAAGAGGCACATTCTCCTGGAAACAATATATGTAAAACAGTGCAAACAAAGGACAGCAATGATCCAATTTTTTTGTTGAATAGACATGGAGAGACACCCACTCTTGATAAAAATATTCTAATTATTTCATATTAAAGCATGAAAAATGGTACTTTGATAAAGTAGAATAATTAGATTTCATTGTGGATCAATATTCGTGGAATTCGTGGGTATCCTACATCCACGAATTCACATCCTCAAGGAATCAATATTTGTGGTTTAAATCGTTATCTTTCCTTTTGTAGGTAAGAGTAGATACATGAAATTACGTCCCTTCGAATATGTAAAATTTGAACAATCCACGAAAATGGCCTTTACGAATTTTAATGATTTTAATGATGATTAATGATTGTCACAGTTGATAAAAAATCTGCACGTTATGAAGAAGATTCGTGTTCAAAAATAGGAGGGAAAAAAAGGTACACTTTTTTTTCTACCCGTCGTAGTCTTTGCAAATTGTGAATTTCAGAGAAAATCTTCAATTTTATGCAAATGTGCCGCACAGTACACCATATTAACTGTTACTAATCGAACTATCACCAAATTAGTTGCTGAGGAATTTAAAATGTAACGTAAACACTAGTGTGTCCTCATCTTCCCTCTTGACGAGAATTGATAGTTGATATCAGAACAGTGTCGCGTAAAATGACCGATTAAACAAATACATTGAGTGTGTGTATTTAAAATCAAACAATTTTTTGTCATTTTGTAACTCAAGTTGTTTTTAATTAGAAGAAACGACTGTTACCAAAGTGTCAACGAGTTACGGGTTATCGTTAAAGAATATCCTTTTATCGTGAATAATTTTGCTTCTAACATATATTTTTCTTTATGATTATAGACTGAGAATTGTTTTTTTGATATTACTGCTTATATTGGTTCCATTGTTATATATATGTGTAATTTCTTTCATAGCAGCACATACTCGTAGATATTTTTTGTTAGAAAACCTGTGATTGTGATGCACAGTGAAAAAATAACTCTCGGTCAAATACAGTGAAATCTGTTGATGTGTAATTGTTGTGCATTTTACTATTGCTTTATCTTACTTACAATAAATTTAATGAATTTGTCAAAAAAGACTTTACTTTGATTCTTTGCAAATCTTGATCTCAAAACAGAACTAGATATCATTGAGATGGTGGCCATCTCAAAGTGAAGGGCCCCGCTTTCAGCAACGAACATGAAAATGTAAGGTAGCTGAAAAGGGTTTATTTTGAAGAGGAACATTTGTGTACTATTAAGGGATGTGTTGTTTGAGTCTAAAGGGCTTCTGTGTCACCTTTGTTATAATAAACAAAAGGCCCAAGAGCCTTAACGGTCACCTGAGTACAACAATTTAGAGGATCCATAAACTGATAAATGAAGCTTTGTTGCCCAATAGCAAGAAAAATAGTACGATTATGATCAACAAAATAACTGGTCTAGTATCTTTCTATCTGTCCCCCATTTATCGTTATTACCATGCAGACTTTTAACAAAATGTCTATATTATTACCTCTCACATTGGCCTCACTTGGCCTTTGAAGAACATTTAAGAAGATAAGTTATTTTTGTTTCATTTTTATTCATCTATTATTTCCAAGTCTACCTGATTATTAAAACTATGAAAGTACTTTTTGTATTATACAATAAATGTTCTTGCATAATTCTCTTATTCTATTAACCTTTCAAATACATTATCTACAGTGATTAATTATCAAAAGTGAATGGCAAAGGGGAATAACTTCACTCAATAGAATACAAATTAATAGAGCCCTGGCCAGGACCAGAACATTTGACTAAATGGTCCAGATGTTCAAAAATCTGGTAAAAATACCCTTGCTTATTAAAACTTTTACTCTGTTTGCTTCCAATATGCTCAGGAGCAGAGGAGATTTTCGAAGAAATAATGGATTTTCACTATTTAACACAGCCCTACCCTAACACCAGAACCCAAGACTTTGGGTCATGAAAATTTACAAATTTGGAAGAGGTACCCTCATCATCATAACTATATAACTATGCAATTAGTTGAAGATTTTCAAAGAACTCAAACATTTTCAATGTATACCCAAATACAACCCCCCCTTCAGAGAAACAACAGAACCCCTGGGACCACAAGATTGAAAAAATTTTGTAAAAACATCATTGCTCATCATAACTATACACTTGTTTCTTTGCTTTTTAACCAGGAGTAAAAAAATATATTGAAAGAAATTATGAATTTTCACTATATAATCTATAACCATCCCCCCTTCACCAGAACCCCTGACCCAGGGGCCATGAAATTCACAGTTTTGGAAGAGGCAGCCATGCTCATTATAACAATGTACTTAGCTAGTTTATTTAATACCCAGGAGCAGAAAAGAAGATTTTCAAAGATTTAATGCATTTTCACTATATAAACAACAAAACCCCGCCCTAACGCCAGAACCCTTGACCCAGGGGCCATGAAATTCACAATTTTGGAAGAGGCAGCCATGCTCATTATAACTATGCACTTAGTTTATTTCATACTCAGGCAGAGGAGAAGATATTCAATGATTTAAAGCATTTTCACTATATAATCAATAGAGCCCCGCCCTAACACCAGAACCCCTGACCCAGGGGCCATGAAATTCACAATTTTGGAAGAGGCAGCTATGCTCATCATAAATATGTACTTAGTTTATTGAATATCCAGGAGCAGAGAAGAAGATTTTCAAAGATATAATGCATTTTCACTATATAATCAATGGAGCCCCGCCCTAACATCAGAGCCCTTGACCCAGGGGCCATGAAATTCACAATTTTGGAAGAGGCAGCCATGCTCATTATAACTATATACTTAGTTTATTTCATACCCAGGAGCAGAGAAGAAGATTTTCAACGATATAATGCATTTTCACTATATAATCAATAGAGCCCCGCCCTAACACCAGAACCCCTGACCCAGGGGCCATGAAATTCACAATTTTAGAAGAGGCAGCCATGCTCAACATAACTATGTACCTAGTTAGTTTATCTAATACCCATGAGCAGAAAAGAAGATTTTCAAAGAAATAATGCACTTTCACTATATGATCTATATAGCCCCACCCTAGCACCAGAACCCCTGAACCTGGGGCCATGAATTTCACAATTTTGGTAGAGGACACAATGCTTATTACAATCATGCCGACAGTTTGACTGCTTGATGTCCAGGAGTAAGAAGATTTTTAAAGATTACATTAATTTTGGTGGTTTTAGCCCCACCCCTCAGGCCCAAGGGGGGGGGGGAAGGGACCATGAAATTCACAATTTTTGCCCCCCTTCACCCATAGATGCTATATGCTAAAATTGGTTGAGCGGTTTCAGAGAAGAAGCTGAAAATGTTTAAATGTTAACGCACGAAGCACGACGGACGACGACGGACAAAAACGGATAGCAATAAAAAAATAAAAATGGCACGAAAATCACGAGTGTTCCATATCCTCTATCAAAAACGGCACAAGAATCACGAATGTTGCATATCCTCTATCAAAATATGGAAGGAAAATCACAGATGTTCCGTACCCTAAGTCAATTGGTAAAGTTTGAGGCTGACTGGACTTAAGGGAAAGAAATTATGCACCGAACAAAGATTTTAATCAGAGAGGCTATTTTTGACCTTGATCCTTGACCTAGAAACTTCGTTCAAGGTCACATTCATTGACCAGTGGCACTCTGTGAGTGAAGTATGAGCCACATTGGACCAAAAGGAGAGAAGATATGCTCCGGACAAGGATATTTCATATAATTCTGCTATGTCCTTAACCTTAGACCTAGAAATATGGTTCAAGGTCACTGCACACCCTTTGCCCAAAGACACTCTGTGGGTGAAGTATGAGCCAGATTGGGCCAAGGAGAGAGAAGATATGCTTCGGACAAGAGATCTCGGACGGACAAACGGACGGAAGGACAGACTGATCACTATAGGGCGCCCGCAGAGCGGGCCCTAAATTAAGAATAAAAGCACATTGAAAAGGGTACAAACCTGCCTCTAGACTATATGATATGTTGTTCTGGATTCCTAAATCACCATCTAATGCGAAAACTTTTGTGATCAGTGATCCCTATTAAAAATAAACATTAGTATTTGATGTTTATCAGTCAGATAATAATTTGATCTAAATAAAAATTTTGAATTCACTTGTCAACTTTGAGAAATAGAAATAGTTATACCATGGGTATTCCCTCTTGTATTGAAACCATGTACGGCAATCCAATGAATATTGGTGGAGTATCTGGTACATCCAAAATTGTGATCAATAGGTCGGCAGTACTACTCAGTCTGGGATTACCTCCATCCTTAAAACGGTTATTATGTTAATTATCAGAATTAAAGATGCATCTTGACGCACACCTATTATCTCAAGTATACTAAATGAATATCACTGCATGTATTCCATGCGCATGGAATAATTTGCATGTGTATGTATATTTGCGTACTGTATTGTTGGAGAAGCACCTTAAAATGAAATATATGGAGATAACGAACAGTAATCGAGCTCAAAAGTCCATTAAACAATACAAAATAGGAGCAGAGCAAACACGGACCTCCAAACATCAGAGGTGGGATCAGGTGCCATGGAGGAGTGAGCATCCCCTGCCGACCGGTCACACCCGCTGTGTGCTCCTTGTCATGATCGGGAAATAACGGAAAAATCCGTCGACAATTCAGTGTGTAAATAATGGCCTAACAATTAGTATGAAAAACGTCAGTCAGCATTTGACTCAATGATAAATTGTATTTGCTGACAAGGTCATTGTATCGACCATAGAACTTACGAAATGATGACTTTAAACGAGACAGCTGATAATCTTGTTTCATCAACTTGTTTGTCAATAATTTACCTCGTTTAAGAAATTGTACATACGTAGAGCATGCTCTTGCGTATCGAATCAACTGAGAGATATATACCCCGTATGCAGGTGATGAAGGTATATTGCTGCATAAGTAAGGGAAGTTGACGATTGAAAAGTTAAAGTCATCACGTTTATCATAAAGCTTGGTTGTTAGATTACCATTAACGTCTTTTTCAAGTAAAATATCCAAATATGAAACAGATGTGATGATTAAAACTAATTTGTAACTTTTGAGGAGATGTTAGTTTCGAATGTGTTCACGGTAAAGATGCAGGGAATACCTTATTCTATCGTACTATTTACCGCGCTTTAGAACACATTATGTCCATTGCAGTCTTCTATGCATTGATCTTAACAAAAATTATGCATAAATTTATGCTAAATTCAATATCACAAAAATAAATTCGTCAAACCAAATAAGGTTTGTTAATTCCTTGAAATAAGCTGAGATAAGACAAAAAATCCTTTACTGAAGTTATTCTAGCCTACAATAAACTATTTAAATTGTCTACGAGTTATTCAAGCTTTGAAAGCAATAGGAAAATTGGTTTTAGCTATATCACTTACCTTGGCAATCAATGTATACTGATAAAATGTTAATCTCTCAAAATCAAGGTGTTGATTTAGGGTGACTTGTCCATTTAGTGGATTTATGATGAATATTTTTCCATACAGTGCAGACGCCTAGGAAAATGAGAATGGGCATTCCTTTTTATTCCCTTATTTTTTTTTAAAGAAAATCCATTGAGTCAACCAAATTATTGTTGTATTTATTTACACTACTACGGTATAAAGAATAACACTTTTCATTTTTCAAATAAAATGATCATACCTATTGAAAAAAAAGAGGTAAATATTATTTTCAAAAATTAATTGATGCCCTCAATGGAATTTAATCATTTAAAGAATCTTTAAGTTTTTAATTTGAAATGAAATTTTGGGATAATTCTCAACAACGTATTCAATTACCTGGCCAGCAGACTGTAAATGACACAATAGCATGTTAATTATCGTTATCTTAGTAATCACTCAAAAAATGTTTTCTTATTTTTTCTTATTTATAGCAGACCAACAAATATTTCATTATTAGACTATAGAGGTAATAACCTTCATATCATAGGACACGGATCCTCCGGGTCCATTATCAGGGTCGGTAGCAGAGATAGAGATGTTAATGGGAACAGCTAAATCATGATCCTAATTAAAAGAGATGACATTTATACGGGAAAGTTTATGTTGTAGCTTAAATAATAAATAGCTAGGTAATGTTGTATGCAAGTATCAATAAATCATATATAAAATACTTATATAACAGAATCTACCTCTGGAACTTGGATATGGTACGCTGGTTGTGAGAATTTGGGGGGTTCATCATTTACGTCATTCACAAAAAGGGTTACTTCTAAGGCGGACTACAAAGTTTAAATTCGTTTTTCATACACACAATGATCAAAATCTTTCAACAATTGTATTTCTGTGCTAGGCCTGTAATTGCGAACAAGATCTTACCGAAGGAGCATCCTTTTCGCTGCTAGTTGCAATAAATCTTAACAGATGTAGTGATTGTGTCTGAAAAATAAATTCAATAGTTTAGACTTATTGCTTTATGACATCTTTTCTGTGTAATTTTGGATTAAGAAAATGTGTTAAACATTTAATATTGCCTCTTTCAATAGTAAATATTTAATTAAACAATAAAATGCTTTTTTGGCTGTTAGTTCGGGGATTAATGTTGCAGCTGTTTCAGAAAAAATGCATAACCCGCGTTATGTAATTTTTTCTGCAAATAAACAACCTGAACTAACAAGGACATTATATTGTTTATATTTATATCTGTACAAATAGTAATTATAGTAGGGTTTAGTAGATGAAATATTGTATTATTGATAAGTACTTCATTGTACGTTTCATTGATGGAACAGCCACTGCTCAAGAAATCCGTAACGGTGTTTACTGACTTATAAACAGTAATGGTTTTCTTAAGGAATAAAGGACATCATATTCAGTGGATGTGTTGAATTCTTAGTTTTGGATGGATGTCGTCGTTCCTATAACAGCACAAGGCCATGCCGACAGATTGAATACCACACGTTTCAATGTTTAAATTTACATTCTCTAAATTTCCCCTTCATAATAGTTAATTTTGTTATTCTATTTTTAAATGAATTTACCTTTCATTAAAGGTGTGCTTAAGAGAACGTAAGAGCCGTTGTGACGTGGAAAGTGAACCGTTTTGACGTGGAAAGTTAAATAACGCAAATGAATATTTCGAAAATGACAAATTAAATTTAAATGTAAATATGTTATATTTTTATGGTAATTTAAAAGGGTAATTGTTTTTAATTAAATTGAGCAAGAACAATATACATTTTAGTATTTTAGAGATAATGCATATAGTTTCTACTGTGTATTTTACCACACAGTGTGTGTTACATGTATATAGGGCATTGAATGTTGCAGATTTCTAATGGATTTTATAAAGAAAATTACATCGAATGTAAATATACAATTTTGCAATTTTACACCGAATGTAAATATACAATTTTGAAATTGACTTCAATATTTTTTCCAGTTTTTCTTATATAATTTTTGATAACTATTTCATGATTACCACGTACTGTTAAAACAAGTTAAATATTAATTATGGAAAGCAAACACCTCACATTAAACTTATCAGGAGTTCCATTCTTCAAATCACATCATACGCTAAATATTTACGAAACTGGTCAACACATGTAAATTTACAACCTCTCTATCCAGGTTCTTTTTCAGAAAAACTCCCCAGGTACCACTTTGTGTTTGTTTGATTGTAACGATATCACTGGTTTCTCCTGTTGCTCTAACAGTTACAGTTCCACCATTTCTGTCTTGTGCTGTGATACTGAAAAGCTTCGTACCTGTTATAATCGATGAAGCAAATGTTTTTCTAAACGTGTCTTTCATATATTTTAGAATTCCAATATCAAATTAAAATGGTATAGGAATCAAAAATTGTATGTTCATACCGATATTCAAATACATACTCCGAGCGATTGGAACCGAACTTTTACCCATAAGAGAATGTTATTGTAAACTTGGATTAGATTTATATGATTTCAAATGAGGATGTTGCCTTCTAAAACTATTTTATACTCAGTGTTACAGGAATTAAATGTCATATTAACCGATGAAAGGCTTTGTGTTTCGGATTGCATACCGGTACTACATGTAATGCATCATGGAGGTATTATTAAATGCATGTAATTTGAATGAATTTATGTTTTACTTTTTCTTTAAGAAAGAATAAATTAATACATGAAATATATGGAGATAACGAACAGTATTCAAGCTCAAAAGTCCATTATACAATACAAAATAGGAGCAGAGCAAACACGGACCTCCAAACATCAGAGGTGGGATCAGGTGCCATGGAGGAGTGAGCATCCAATTTACATTTACAACCAATCTGACAGATGCCGACTCTGTTTTGGCTGATTGATTGATTGTTTATTGTTTAACGCCGAGTCGGCAATATTTCAGCCATGTTTCGGCGGATATGTTTTTGTAACGAACAACCAAATCCGATTATGTTAGCATGATTACATGCCCCCAGCCCCCCCCCCCCCAACCCCCCAACCCCCAATCCTTTTCATTTTACTACATGCTTTTGATTACATTGGATACATTTGATTGATGAAAAATCCTTAATGACAATGCTCGACGTGGGAGTAAATCATCTTAAATTCATTTAACACCATGTCTCACCAGTCGTCACATCAACTCGCGTTATCAGTGATATTTCAGTTGCCATTCTTGAATTTATATTCACGTGAATTATATGACGGTCCATTCTGGGACTCAATTAAATCTTTCCCTGATGTAAAATGTTGAAATTCATGTGAAATGTCTTTTCCCTTACAAAGCTTTTATAATATTTTATTCCACGTTTCTGACAGATTCCCCTCTTCATAATAGATGATTTTAAGTTTGTATCGCAGAAATTACCACCAGCCAGTATTTTCTATAAAATACTTAAAAACACTTAAATAGACACGTTTACAATAATAAATATTTTATACGCGAAAGAAGCATATACCAATTGCAATGTTTTCGTTGACTTCCTGAATGCCACCACCTGATTGCATATGAATTATCGGAGGAAAGTTTGAGGCAATCGTATTACCTGTATAAATGAAAGTCAAGATGCTATAAATGATGAATGTATAATAATCCATATCTATTGCAATTATACGGTTGTAATTATAATACATGTATGCAAAATACAATTATCATTTATACGAAATCTATTTTTTCTTATAAAGCATTTCTTATGCAATTTTATTCAATATAGTGTACAAGGCATTGTCAGATAAAGAGAATAAAGCATTAAGAAGTTACCAAAGATAACGAGGAGGACAGCAAATGTTTTTATATTCACTTTCTTCATATTTTATCAATCATATCACGGTGTCCACTTAAAGACAAAAATTCTGTACCAAAAGAATTTTAATACATGTACACATATCAAAGTGAAACGCACAGACAAACAAGAAATAAGGCGCAAAATATATATAGAGAGGATATTCAATATTTTGTAGTTGGATATGGGATTTATTTCACTAGTGGGACAGGATTTTTTTTTTTCACGAGTGCTAAGCATAAAAAAAATCTGTCTCCCAAGTGAAATAAATTCCACATCCAACAATAAAACATTGAATTTTCCGTTTATTACATTTTCTTTTATTTTCCCTTTGCCTCTGTCTAATTTCTTAACACAATGTCATAGGCTATGAAGTCATACTGGAGAGGTTGAGACGTCATAGCCTAGCAGTTGTTGAGATTGAAAACATTGTAACATGGATTTTAGCAACAAATTTGGGAAGGAATTGGCAGTTTTAATCTCTATCAAGACGGTTTAGTTACTATCTCTATCTTATGACAGGTCAGAAATTATTTTTTACTTGCTTTGATATCCTTTCACATTGTGAAAGAATATAACTTTGGTATCCTTTCACACTGTGAGAGAATATCAATTTTATTCAATAAATAAATCACAGTATTTCACTGTTGAAAATGTAATAAAATATAAGACATTGAGGAATAGAATTGAATGTTTATTTTAATTAAAGAATTGTTTGATCTTCTTCAAAAACAAAATGAAAAAAATTGAATTGATTATCAAAATCATGACTATCATATTTCTAAGTCCAATCACACCTGTTTTCGTTATAAGACCCGGCATACAGAGATCATACTAAATTTGAGGCAGCAAAGATGAATTAAAAGCAAACACATATAACACAATCTTGTCTACAACTTTGACAAACTTCTATGTAACTATTTTGTAATATTACATCGAAAAGAATGTCACAACAAAGTACTGTAGATTGGCAAATAATCATGATGGTTTTTAATTTCACTATGTTCACGATTCATCATTTTTCCGCGAAATTAAAGCCATCGTGAATGCTGTCATTAGTTTTTTAAAACATTTAAATGCTTATACGAAATTCAAATTATTTTCTTGCGGCGTGAAATTAAAACCATCGCGATTGGTACTTTTTGAGAAATCGTGAAATTTTAACACCGTGGAATTAAAACGACTTACAGTATGTGTTTGTAAGGCTCAATGTATTATTACAATTGCATTTTAATTTTACAAGTGTTAATCCAATTTATACTTAAGTTCCCTTTCTAAGGAGGAATTAAAAAAAAATAAGGCAGTTTTGAATATTTTTCTAAACAAACAGATTGAATTTGACATACCATACCTATGTTGGATTTCTAAACTTCATCGTTAAATGTTCCACAAAGTCAAAATCTTTCTTTACTCCTTAACAAATATTAAGATAAGGAAATTCAGAGATACCAATAGCAAATTTTCAACACTTTATACAGCCATTCTCCACGATCAATTGACAAGACGCTTTGACATCATGTACCATAGGCTACCATGTTTTCTATTGTTATCTACATCATAACCCATGGAAAAAAATAAAAGTAAATATTTGTCAACTAGAAGTTTAGATTGCAATTCTCCTATTGTAACTTGCATTCCGCTTGATTAGGGCGAAATCCTAACGCTGTAAATTCGCTCATGCAGGCACTAGGACGAAATTCATAATACATGTACTTGGAATCTTTATCAAATAGAAAATCTCATTTATCCCATATTCCGGAAATATTTTGATCCGACACATAACATGTACAGTAATTTTTTTGGGAGGGGGGGGGGCGTGGAAAGGGGAAGGGATTTGGCTGGTTTGACAACGTTAACAAAACTTAACTACTTGTTAAAGTCTGCAGTTTCGGTCAAAAATCATATTAGGAAAATCTGAGCTTGCTATGGTACATGACACTTGCCGTATATGTCTTTATTGGTTTTTCTGTAGATACCCTGTAGACAGGTAATTAAAAGTCACTTGAAGGTTGCGCCTTCTCGTGTAACTTTTAACTAGTATCCTATAGGGTATCTAGAGAAAACAGTAAAACCTTATACTGTACCTACTACATAGACAACTACTTCTTCGATAAAAGAATGTTGAATACCCCTAATAAATGTTTTTTTCACTATACAAAATATTTCTTTTGATTAAATTGGTCGAGGGTTTTTTAACTAGTAAATAATATATATAGAAGGATTTTTGAAACAAATTAATCTTTATTTTAAAGCTGTACAAAACAGAAAATTAATGCTAACATGATGTCTTTGACATTTGTACCTGGTCAGAGAGAGAGAGAGAGAGAGAGAGAGAGAGAGAGAGGTTCTTAAATTTGACAAACTATTATGAAAAGTTGTGACGTTATCAAAAAAGTAATAATAGGATTAAACTCTTTATCACTATCTTGATCTAAAGATAAACATAAAATTACTATATGAATAAGGAAGAATCATTGCTGGCAGTCAAGATTTAAAAATATCCAATGATTAGCTTACTTTTAATAGTTTGAGGTTAAAATAATTGTAAAAATAAATAAAGGAATCGATCCTACCTTACAAATTGAAAGACTTCAGTTTTGCAATAACGTTTTGTGGTCTTGTATTATCTTGCAACACGTTAGACCGATAAGGAAATGACCTAGTCAAAAGGTATTTACCATGTTTGGAATCATATACGAGTCATATTCTGTACTGAAAATGAATTTGTAAACAGCTTTGAAAGACATACTTTCATTCCAAATGTTTCATTCCATTAGTATGATATTCTAATTGATATTAGACATTTGTTGATAATTATGTAGAAATACCAAATTTAGTTACTATTTATATAGTAATTCATGTTGAAATGGTAAAAGGATCTTACTTTATCAATTCTTAAAAAAAAGATAAAAAAGAAATAAAAAAAAAGGTAAATATACAAAACGCATCATTTCTTTATCTTTCCCAGCTGTTGTTTCCGACTGCAGCGATATCTTTATCTCATTTTAAAATTATAGCTTCTTGCATGCAAAAATTATTCTAATGCAAGAAGTACTCTTTTTAATCGCTTGTTCATGCTTGAACTGGTTACTTATTGATATAAATCCATTATTATGTGGTGACGTTAATTTCCCTCTACAAACACATAACTGTATTTTTGCTGCTGTTCATAAATTTATTGAGGAAACATGTAGATTCTCTAGTTGATATGTTATTTAATTGCTTTTGACTTGTATCAATTGTATTTTCTTTCTTAAATTTGCATAACATTTTGCATGACATATTTTGCATGATATATATATAATATGTAATAAGTGAGGAGAGGAACTAGTAAGATATAATAACTTATTTCCAATCCTTTTGATGTACTTGATAAAACATATTCAAACAATTGACAAAACGTCGTCAATACATTGTAGGCCAAGACAGGAGACTTATTAATTACGGTGAAACCGGAGGGGATTACAGGTTTCCTCTGAGTCTGTCCGTCCTTCTGTCCGTCTGTCTGTCAGTCTGTCCCACTTGGTTTTCAGCACTTTTTTCT